CACTGAACTACAACTAGTGGACCACAGCAACTGAGCTACAACTAGTGGACTACAATCACTGAACAACAACTAGTGGACTGCAACCACTGAACCACAACCACTGGACCACAGCCGCTGAACTACAACTAGTGGACTACAACCACTGCACCACATCCACTGAAATACAACCAGAGGACCACAGCCACTGAACTACAGCCCCTGGGCCACAGCCAATGGACAACAACCACTGGACCACAGCCACTGAACTACAACCACTGGACCACAGACACTGAACTACAACCACTGGACCACAGCCAATGGACTATAACCACTTGACCACAGCAACTGAACTACAACCAGTGGACCACAGCCACTGGACTACAACCACTGGACCACAGCTGCTGAACTACTAACTGCACGTGTCCAACCCCACATACCTTCCTCTTTGTCTTTCCTTCACTCTTCCACAAATCCATCTGTCACTCTTCACGCCTCCTCCAATTCTTCCTCTCACTCTTTACATTACTCTTCTTCCTCACTCATCCTCGGTCTTCTTCTCTTCATCCTACTCCTTCTATCACTTCTTGTCACTTCCACTCACACGTTTTCCTCTTTAGAGCTTCTTCTTTGTGAACGTTCCCCCTCTTCTGTCATTTTTCAAAGTATTTAGCTCAGTTTTCAGCCACCTTCTGCTTGTTTGAATCGTAGGCCTCAGCTTTAGCTCATTTTGCCCATTTGTCCCAAGTCAGTGGGACTGAGGGATGAATGGACTCACCTCCAGCCCGTCCTCTTGGCTGTACTGTTTCCAGATGTGCCCCGTGTCGCTGTAGAGCAACAGGTAACTGCTGACCCAGTCCCAGCTGTCGTAGCGGCCCTGTGTGGCCACAGCCATCACCTCCATCAGCTCCCGCAGGTCCACCTGCAGCCAGGGGTTGTGGTCCATCATCATGGGGGACCAGCCTCCTGCTCCTGGAGGAGAGACCAGGGATCACTTCAGACTCACTTATCAACCTCAGACTAATTGGGGGGGGGGGGGGGGGTTCACCTGTTCACTCTGATGGTTCAGCGGTCAACCTGAACTAATAGAACTGATAATGTTTTGTTAATTATTCTGTCTTTTAGCAAAATATCTCAAGAACTGGACTGATTTTAATGAAGCTCTCAGAAAGTCATCATTGAGTTCACATCAACTACGTTTTGGAGTCAACCCTATTCAAGATGGCTGCTACAGCTATTTGGTCTTAGCCAAAAAATGACTATAATTTAGTCAGATTTGGAGAAATTGAGCTAGAGTTTGATGTGGTAGTAGCTGAGAGTCATCCTGAACACACAGCAGATCTGTTAGAAGGAACAATACTGTATATTTGGAGGTGGGTGACAGGCATTCCTGCAAGGAATGTTGGGCTGGAAAATGACATACAGTACATGGCTGTGGTGGCCATCTTGAATCAGGATGACTCCTAATGTGATCAGACAGTGATTAAATTCTGAGTTTAATGCAAACCTGTCCAGTGGTTCATGGGATATTTTGCTAACAGGACTGACAGCTCTACCCTTGTCTGTCCTGTGTTGGTTATGCAGAAGAAAACATCAAATGAAGATTATTTTCTTCTGATGTGAGCATGCTCAGTGAAGTGAACCGACCCAGAGAGTCTCAGATGAAGAGCAGAACAACCTGAGTCCTGGCGGCACCACTAGCAGCACCTTTTTCCTCATTACTGACTGTTCATAAACTCTGCCTCTTGGATGCTAATCATCAGTAATACTGCTCCAGACCCCGGAGGGACCCAGGAGCAAACTTATTCCCAGCAGAAGACCCCATCCCAACGTTTAGTCTAAACAAAGCAGAGAAATCAGCCATAATGAGAGCTCTTCAGACCTTAGCTAAAACAAGCAAAACCAGCTGAACCTTAAAGGGAGACACAGCTTCAAACAGAAAACCACGGCTAAAAGCTCAAAGTGATCAAGCTAAAAGCTAACAGCTAAATGCAGCTTGTGCAGACTGCCGCAGAGATCAGAGAAGGTTGGATGAAAGTGAAATGTGAACATGTTTCTGTGTGTGTGTGTGTGTGGGGGGGGGCTTGATTCTAAACACACAGTGTGAAGAATCTAAAGACAAAAAGCTGCTTGACTCAACACGTACACGCAAAACAAATAAAAGTCATCAGAAGGTCGGTCTCTGAGTCAGACCCAGCTGTGAAGCAACATAAAAAAACAATAAACAAATAAACAAATAAAGCAAAGAGTTAGTTTGTGATGTCGTTAAAAGTCCTGGACTCTGAGGAACATTTGATCAGAAGCTTCAGCAGGAACCTGAGCAGGCGGTTTTCATGTTGCTGCTGCTTCTGGATGAATCCTCAAATCAAACTAGCTGAAGCTTCTTTCTGCTTCTTTAAAACATTCAGCTCCTTCAACGCAGTTTGGATTTTATAACTTTTAGATTCTTAAAAAATCTTTCTTTTCTTTTACAAGTTGCCCAAAAAACCCCACACTGAAATCTTTCCAACTCTTTCAAAACCTTGTTTTTTACAATATCTTCTCCAGAAAACATGCTCTAGTTTTGTCCTCCTATGCTATGTTTAGCTTTTAGCTACACTGGTGACAATTTTAGCATCTGTTTTGTTATTTTTAGATATAAGATCAATTTAGCAATTGCTATGTAACGTTATGTTCCTTTTATCTTTTAGCTGCTGCTCTGGTGCTTGTAGTTTTCCTGTAGTTTTCTTGTTTTAAGCATGTAAATGACTTCTATTGTCACATTTAGCTTTTAGCTTGCATTTAGCTCATTTCAGCCTCTGCTCTTGCTTCAGGCTCATATTCCACAAAGTGTTTTTAATGTCTGTTATATCTGAAGACATTGAAGCAGGTGAGTCGAGGAGATCCTCTGAGAGTCTGAGGAGCGCAGCGGCCGCTTCAGCGTGCTGCTGGCTTGTGTGTACTCACCCTCCCTCCTGTTCAGCTTGGCGGAGAAAGCAGCATGGCTGCCCGAGGACTGAGACGAGCTCTGGAAGGACAAGGGAGGCAGCGCTGACACCAGAGGATTGTGGCAGTTATCTGGAACACAAGGACATTACATTCAGAAGAGAAGAACGATCCGCTGAGAAGCTGAAAGGAAAAACACATATCGGCAACATCAGCTAAATAACCCCACAGACATACGCTACAACAGCTAAATAAATGGTAAATGGACTGCACTTATATAGCACCTTTCTATCTTATTTCAAGACACTCAAATCACTTTACACTACAGTCTGTGTCCTCATTTACACATTCATACAGCTCTATACTAGATCTCTATAAAGCTAATTGAACAAATCATTCTAAAGAGACTAATCAGAGCTTTAGATCAAATTTAAACACTGATGGGACACACATGAAAGGATATGAGGGGTTCAGTGTCGTGCCCAGGGACTCTTCAGCATGTGACTGCTGATGGATTCGAACCCCCAACTCTCGCATTGGAGGACGACTGCTCTAACCACTCAGACAAAGCCGCCCTATAACCACACAGGCACAGGCTACATCAGCTAAATAAACCCACAGACATCCGTTACATCAGCTAAATAACCACACAGAAATCCGCTACATCAACAAATTAACAGCACATACATCAGCTACATCAGCTAAATAACCACAAAGAAATTTACTAAATCAGCTAAATAACCACACAGACATCTGCTACATCAGCTAAACAACTATATAGACATCCACAAAAAAATCAGCTAAATAACCACACAGGCATCAGTTACATCAGCTAAAAAATTCCAAAGACATCTGCTACATCAGCTAAATAATCCCACAGACATCCACTACGT